GACAAATGACAATTTTGATAAACCTTAATGCCAACAATTTCTAAAATTATGGCCATGTTAATAGTAACAAATTATAAAAATTAACAAACCAAAAAGCTCGTTTAGTAACTAACATTTATATAATATAACTATTACTTCATTTCTAGGCCAGTTAGTTTTATAAAGTAAAATTCATGCAGACAAAAGCACATTCAATAAATCTTGTACTCATTTAGAATAAAGTAATACTTCTTACCTTCTGCAGTTGGAATGCACCCCAAGAAAACAAGAGGAGGGAAAAAAAAAGGTTTTAATTTTCTTCACAAGTAACAATAAGCTCCCCCAATTAAGTTATACCTTGATCTTCCACAGCAATACTAACAACCCTAAAATTAGTAACAATCCCTATTTTGCTACATAAAACATTAAATTTTTAAAAATGCATAAATTGGTTTTGGTAAGGATCAATGTCTAAAATTGCACACTCAAATTCAGGTACACAAATTACTTTAGAAAACAAGTGAAATGCTTTAATTCCATGAAACTGTGATTGTCAGGGCAGCTTGGAGTTCAGTGTGAATTCTGTAACAGTACTCTTTTCTTCCCCATTCATTTTGATTGCAAGGAGTCATCATAAAGCCATCAACTATGGGCCTTGGGGGTTATTTTTGTCTCTTTGATCTATAAAGAATTTAATGGAAATTTAAAAAGCAGATAAGACTATATTGTTTCTGCTGCTGGGTCTAGAGGCACAGACACAAGGTAATCTTAGAAAAACATGTTAGCAACTTAATACAAAATGTGCCTGTGCACTTTTGGGAGTTGGTTCTCCCATTGCACTCCTACCATGGGACCCAGAAGTCAAACTGAGATGTGTATAGCAAATGTTATAGGTAAAACCTTTGAGTCATCCACCTTACAGGCAAAAAAATGTTCTTCATTCTTTGTTTTTTATTTGCATTGGTATTTTGCCACGGGTGTCAGGACCCCTGGAACTACCTACAGACAGTTGTGAGCTGCCATGTGGGTGCTGGGAATAAAACCTGGGTCCAGTGGAAGAGCAGTCAGCGCTCTTAACCACTGAACCATCTCTCCAGCCCAAAGTTCTTCATTCTTAAACTGGGGCAATTTAGCTTGATAAATATCCAGAAAAGATCCTTTCCTGAGATGATTATTGCCATAAAGTTATGACTTATGAACTCTTTATTCCCTTTGTTATATATTTTTGCATAAGAGGTGGGGGAAATCAGGTGGTCTGGATTGAGCAAAAATATTTAACGAATGGCATGAGATTATTTGATTCATTAATTAGCACTAATTCATAAATTAGTACTAACTTTTAATAGGAAGATACCCACAAAGATATAATACTTAATTCATTTTAACTTAAGGATAGTTTTGAACTTTTTATACCAACCCTAAAAGTGCCTACAAATTTGGTATAAACTAAAAAATAAACTTAATAGGCTAGAATTTAGACCACTGTAAACAACAGAAATCAAAGGGTAATAATAATCAGCAACTACCAATCTAATGCTATATGTAACATACAGTGAAGGCTTACCATAAATAATAGAATATATTAACCAGAAAGAAGAATAAAGACACTATGATAGACTGAAAACAACCAGAGCTAGTTATATGAACCTTTAAAGTCTCAAACTTTTTGAGTCTTCATTTATAAAAAATGAGATATAAAATACATTATCCTTTTCAATTGTCTTTTGTGACTATAATATTCTATAACTAAAATAATGTGAGTGATGGGCAAAGTTATAGAAAAGGAACGCAAAAGATATTATCTCTAGTTGTACAGCTAAGAGATATCACTATACTATAACTACTAGTAAATAAATTTTGTTGGTAAGGAATACATGCTAAGTTATCTCCTTACACTCAAAATTGCCAATTACTATGTACAGTACTATGCCTTCTTTCACGTTGCTCTGAATGAAAAACCAACTATTTATAAATACTCGTAAACTTCTTCTAAAGGTGAAAAGGAAAAAAAATATTTAAACTTATTTAGAAACGAGTAGGTTGGCCACAATCTACATAATAAAAAAATAAAACTGCTGGTACATCAGAATTAACAATAAATGGACTAGGTCTGAAAACAGCAAATTCGCAGGTAAGATAAATTCATGAAGAACCTGCTCATTTCCAAGTATGCTTGGAAGATAAGAAGTACACTGACAACAGCGTTTCAGGAACAGCACTATTTTTCCTTTCTAAATAGTCTATTAGGGAGCCAGGTATAGTAGTTTAATCCCAGCATTAGGGAGGCAGAGGCATGCAAATCTCTGAGTTCGAGACCAACCTGGTTTAGAGTGAGTTGCAGGATAGACAGCAATACCTATCTCAGAAAAAGAGAGGGCTAGAGAGATGACTCAGGGGTTAAGAGCATAGGCTGTTCTTCCAGAGGACCTGAGTTCAAGTCTCAGCAACCACACAGTGGCTCACAATCATCTACAATGAGATCTGGCGCCCACTTCTGCCCTGCGGGCATACATGCAGAGAGAACACTATATACATAATAAATAAATAAATCTTGAAAGAAAGAAAGAGAACAAAGCAAACAACAATAATAATTCAATAGTTAGTGGACAGTGAGACAGTTAGGAAATTGTGTAATTCATAATAAAAAATAGAATAATTTTGTTCTAGTGGTGGTGCATGCCTTTAATCCCAGCACTTAGGAGGCAGAAGCAAAGATCTCTGTGAGTTCGAGGCCAGCCTGCTCTACAGACTGAGTTCCAGAACAACCAAGACTATACACAGAAACCATGTACCCTAGGTATTTGTGTGTTAAATTTCTGTTGCTATGATTTAAAAATAAAAGAAATCAATAAAAATTTTATTTTAAAAAACAGGAGGGCCTAGAGAAATGGTTCAGTGGTTAAGAGCACTGACTGCTCTTCCAGAGGACCAGGGTTCAACTTGGAACCAACATGGCAGTTCATGACTGTAAGTCTAGTCCCAGTAGATTCAACACCCTCACACAGACATACACGCAGGTAAAACACCAACGCACATACAAAAAAAAAAAAAAAAAAAAGAAAGAAAGAAAAGCAGAAGGAGAAGAATGGGGGAAAGAAAGGGGAGAAGTGGGAAGGGGGAGAAGAGAAAGGAGAAGAAAAGGAGGAAGAAGAAAAGAAGGAGACTAAAAGCAACTTGAAAAGTGTTTATTGGCATATATTCCTAGGCTGCAATCCAGAGAGGCCCGTGCAGGAACTCAAAGAGGAACGCTGTTTGCTGGCTTACTTACTGGCTCATTCTTTGAATATATTCAGCTACAATTTTTTTCCGATTTATTGATCGATAGCGATTCAGTATTTATTGATCGCTGATCAATCGCTAGGAGCACCAAAGGGACTCGAATCCGGGTCCCTGGCACTAGAGCGTTAGGCGCCCTTAGCTGCTGAGCCACCGCTTCAGCTACAATTTTTGATATACTGCCCAGGACCACCTGTCTGTGGAACAGTGCCTCCCATAATGGACTGAGCCTATTACATCAATTAATAATCACAACAATCCCCTTACACACATGACCTAACCAACCTAATCTAGGCAGGCAATTCCTCAACTGAGGCCTCTCCTTTAACATGACATTAAGCTAACCAGGATAATATATAACTTAGAAATCTACATTTGCAACTTATATGAAAAGACTATTTTCCTTGAGTATACTATAGGTCATGAAATATTTATCCTCTAATGTCCAAAATGGGTATTAGATACTAATCTTAAAAAGAAATGTTAAAGGAAGTTCTTCAGACTTAAAGAAATACTAGTTATACTAGAGGGAAGTTCTGAACTTAAAAGATCAATGAAAAATAAAAGAGATGTAAACAGATGAACCATTAAGACACCAGAAAGCAAAAGTAATGAGTGTCGAATTTGATTTCTTGTACGAAAATAAAAATATGGCTCTAACATGAAGAAAATATGTAAACAAACCTAAGCATCTATAAAGAAAGCAAAATAAGAGGCCTATGGAAAATTTTAGTTAGAAATTATACTTTCTTGAATTGCTTTTTTTTTTTAAAAAAAAAAAAGCTATAGTCAAAAAACTAATAAATGACATAAAATAGTTAAGTATAAAACACCCAGTCAATTAAGTACTAGGGCTGGAGAGCATGCTGGCTCACACAGAGTCTAAGATCCAATACACAGAACAGTAGGAGACATTAAAAATAAATAAATAAAAACAGTAAAAAAAACTGGAGAGGAGATGGAGAGATGGTTTGGTGGTTGGGATTGCTGGCTGCTTTTCTAGAATACCTGGGTTCAATTCCCAGTACCCACATGGCAGCTCACAATTGTCTGTAAGTTCAATCCTAGAGGATCTGGTATTTTCACACAGACACACAAGAAAGCAAAACCACCAATGCACATGAAAACAAAATAAATAAATCTTAAAAAAAAAAAGACTGAGGAGTATGCTAGCATTTGAGAGGCAATGGACTCATTTGTCAGCACCGCTTTAACAAATAAGGAAGAAGAAAGACAAATTGTGACTCTAGAATCAATGTATACTCAGACTAATACACTAATGTATACTCAGAATTTAAACATAACACAATCAGCAGCCACATATTATTACAAGAACTTTTCTCCTCTGTACTTCTAAAATATTCTGTGCTTTACAGTTCTAAATCGGTATTTAAATTTCTTGAAGGGCTTTAAATAAATAAAAATAAAAGACATTTTTTCTTTTTTGGTTTAGAGACAGGGTTTCACTATGTAACCTTGGCTGTTCTGGAACTCACTCTGTAGACCAGGCTAGCCTCCAGGCTCCCTCGGTATCACAAATACCTGTTAGGTTTCAAAGTTCACATTAGCCTCCTGGCCCATCTCTCCTCCCCCAGCTATTTGTCCACCTACTAATAAGCATGCTTTTCCAGTCCATGCTCTCTGACTTCTCTTGCTAATAGCCCTGGCTGCGGCCAGTCTACTTTCTCACTGCTCTGGACTCTTCCAGATGCCTCTGTATATTTTCTCTTACTCACAATAAAAACCTTCTCCCTGATGAAGAAGTCATTTCAGTGATCTCTTTACTGTGCCCCTCACACACAGAAGGGAAATTTTTGCTCTAGAAAAGAACAAACTAAAAATATCTCAAGGGCTGAGTACATGACTTAGGGGCAGATCTGTCGCCTATATGGAATTCAGTAATGCCTTGTATTCAAGTCCCAGCGCCACAAAAAAAAAAAAATTAGTAAATATGAAGTAAAATATTAAAGAAAAAAAAATCTAGGGGGGCTGCAAGGTCCTAGGCTGGCAGAAAGATATCCACAACACCTCCTCTACCCCCGTGCAGTTCTGCTGGCAGGTGAATCCCATAATGATGAGCAAATATGTGGTGGAAAAATGAGAAAGAAAGAATGATTCATGCGCTGTGAAAATAAGGCATACAGGAATAAATGAAGGTGGTGAGGAGTAGGCTGATGCTGGATGCCTGCTTGCCACCTGGTGCTACGGTGAAGGCAGTGAGGTGTAGGCTTATGGGGGATCTGTTGCCACACAGGGCCATGGTGATATCCAGGCCAGACTGTTGCCTAGGGCCATGTCTAGTTAGTTCCATGTCTAGGTCCATGGCCCTACTCAAGCCAGGGTTTGTGTTGATGTCTATGGTTCATGCTGTCATCAAGGGCCATACTAATTCCAGTGGTCTCGGTCACCACCTGGGGCCATGTTGGTATCTAGGGGCCACACTGTCACTGGGGCCATGTCAATTTGGGTAGCCTTCACAGCTACCTGGGGCCATGGTGACCACACGTCTGAGTCTGTGGTCCTACTGCAGCTAAGATCTGTGTTGAATTCCATGGCCCATGTTGCTAAAGGTCACATGGAACCTGGGGTCTAGGGACCATGCTGCTGCCAGTCATTCTAATTTGAGTGCTTTCACCTGGAATCAGGATGTCAATCAGGCTGCTGCCTAGGGCCATGTTTGGATCAGTCGTCCAAATGCCCCTGGAGTCTATGTTGAAGTCTTTGGGCCACTACAACCCACAAAGAAACTTGGGATCTCAGTCAAAGCCTATGGACTTGGGGTCTGAGGGTCATACAGATCTGGTGGTCTGTGCTGCTGCTACCCAGGGCCATGATGTCATCCAGTTCCAGGCTGTTCCCAAGGGCCATACCTGAGTCTGTGATACTGTAGCAGCCAGAGTCTAGATTGACATCATATGGCTCCTATTGCCACTAAGGATCATGAGGATGCCCACGGTTGGTGTGGGAAGTCCTTATGTATATGTGTTGCCTTTATTGGTTAATGAATAAAATTGTCTCGGCCAGTGGTTTAGCAGAATAGAGCAAGGCAAGAATTCCAAGCAGAGGAGGAAAGAAGGTGGAGTCAGAGAGAGGCCATGTAGCCATGGGAGGAGAAAGACACCAGACACCAGCCGGAACTTTGTCAGTTGTAGTGGCATTCAACTCTATTTTAATAAATAAAGACTGCCTAAAGATCTGAGAGTAAAACAATCCCACTGGTCAGTCTTACAAACCAGATTATGGTAACACACACCTTTAATCCCAGTAGTCACAATGACACAAACCTTTAATCCCAGCCCTAGAGAGTAATATAAAATGGGGGGGGTGGGGGGCGCAGCTCAGAGACACAGTCTCCTTCTTAGAGTCCAGGAGGCAGGATTGCCATTTTCAGACTAAGGTCTAGGTAAGAGCCAGTGGCTGACTGTTTTGCTTTTTGGATCTTCAGGTTGAATCCAATTTCTGACCCTGAGATTTTATTAATCGTGCTTCACTTTGGTAAACCACGAGCCTAGTGGTAAAATATAAAATAACAGAAATGGGTTAATTTAAGAGTGATTGGCCAAACACTATAGCAAATAATATTGTTTCTGTGTGATTATTTCAGGTCTGGACAGCCAGAATGAATGAGTAGCCTCCGACAACACACGGTGAGGTTATCCACCTGTGTCCTAGGGTCATGCAGATCTGAACAGGCTGTAGTGTGAGCCAATGTCATGGTGATGCCAATGTCACGTCCAAGCCAGATCTACAGCTGAGGCCTACGTCTGGGTCTGTGATTCTACTGCAGTCAGGGTCTGTGCTGACTTCTTAGGTTCCTGTTATCTTTGTAGGCCATGCAAACAACTGAAGGTCTGGGGCCCTGTTGTCCAAGCGCCCATGCTGATCTCAGTGGCCTGCACTGCCACCTGGGGCGATGATGACATCCAGACCCGGCTGTTGTTGAGGACCATATCTTGGTCTGAGGTCCAGTTTTGGGGGGGGGGGGGTGAAGGGGGTTGTCTATGTTGATATCTATGACACATCACCTCAGGGGCCCAAAGGAACCATTCAAGATGAAATTAAAAGGCAATGCTGAGCCAGTCCCGCCCTTCATTAGCCTAGGAAAAGTTGGCTTTGCCTCTTAGATACAGCAGCAAGAGAGCTGGCCTCACCCCTTACTGCAGGCAAGAGTGAACCAACGCTGAGGGCATGGACATAGGGAAGCTGACTTCACCCTCTCACCTGAGGTGGATGGCCCCAGTGGCCCTGAATGACTAGCTCAGTCACCATTCAGGCTAAGTGGGGGCCTTGGGTTGGCCCATCCTAGTGTCTAACCCATTGAGGACCTGCTACAGTTTATGAAGGGACTGGTCTTAAGGAACAATACCCCCAGCATCTCCACAACTCAGGGCAGTCACAGGATATACCAGAGGAGTTCCAGTGAGGATCCACTGATGAACCAGACCAATGACTCACTGTAATCAAGATTTGCTAGTAAAGGTGATGGGATAAAGGGTACACTATACACACACCCACACCAAGGCCCCCAGTGCCAACAGGATGAACAAAGAGGTATTGGAGAGGTGGGAAAGAAGAAGTAAAAAGTTTTTTGTTTGTCTTGTTCTTGTTTTTGTTTGCTTGCATTGTTCTGATTTTATTTTGTGGGGGTGCTGCAGGGGCAAAGGGAGAATATGGGGGGTTCAGGGAGGTGAGCAGAACTGGGGTGCATAATGTGAAACTCCCAACAAAATCTAGGTCATGCAATAGCTACTTATTAAAAAAATAATTGTCTATTTTCAAATTTCTTAGCACAACCCAGCGTTTCTCAAAGAAGCACCACTGGCAACTCTTCAATGTGATGGGGCTGTCCAAATATGACATGTGGCATTCCAACTGTCTGCCTATTAAACAATACAGTGTGCTCCTCATTCAGTATTAGTTTCAGAAATAGTTCATCTCACAAAGAGTGATCCCATGTAATTAAGAACCACTAGTAGCCAGATGGTGGTGGTGTTTGGTTAAAAGCATTACCTCAGTTCCTAACATCCTTATCCAAAGGAGTCTGCATTGTTTAGTTAGGGAGCTTCACCCCAGGCCCCTGGCATCCATTTTGGAATGTTGGGCGGAAAGTTCCATTTCAAAGATCCCTCCCCAGGGGTTGCCTCAGTCCAAACTCTACCTCCTATCTGAGAAAGCTCACCAAAGAAAGTCCACCAAAGGGTGACCCCCTCCAGGGAAGCTGAAGACCACTCCCACAGGCTATTTAATCTGCCTCCAGAGAATGAACACATGGTCTCCCGGTTCCCCATGGTCTTTCAGTTCTCTGTTCCCCTCTCCATGTTCCACCAGTGTTCTCCCGGGAGGCCACCCAAGAGTCCTGGCAGTCATTAAACATGGGCATCTTTTAATTTGGTCTGACTGGAATTATTACATTAGTGGAGAGGTTGGTCCTTTAAGAAAAATACTTAACAGGTGGCAAACTCAGGAGGCAGCATGCGATCTCTGTGAGTTCAAGGCCAGCCTGGTCTACCGAGGGAGTTCCAGAACAAGCTCAAAAGCTATACAAAGAAACCTGCCTCGGAGTAGGGTGGGGGTGACTCGACACACACCACAAGCTTTGTATGTTATTTTGGTTTGGTGTTGTGAAACAGGATATGGTAGTTTAAAGAATGGTCCCTATAGCTTCATATACTTAAATGCTTGGTCCCCAACTGTTGGTATTATATGGGAAGGTTTAGAAGGTGTGGCCTTCTTGAAGGATGTGTGCAACTAGCTTTGAGGTCTCAAAAACCCACATAATTCAGTTTAGCTCATGGTGTCACATACTTGTAAATCAAATCTCAACTACTGTTCTATCACTCTCTAACTATAACCCCAATTGAAAGCTTTCCCTTTTTTCTTTCTTTTTTTTTTTGTTGTTGTTGTTGTTTTTCAAGACAGGGTTTCTCTGTGTTGCTTTGAAGCATGTCCTGGAAACTAGCTCTTATAGACCAGGCTGGCCTGGAACTCACAGAGATCCACCTGCCTCTGCCTCCCCAGTGCTGGGATTAAAGGCCCCCACCACCACTGCCCAGCTGAAAGTTTTCTTTTATAAATTGCCTTGGTCATAATGTTATCACAGCAACAAAGTAACTAATACACAGAGTTTGCTGGTTAGTGCTACCAGTCTGCTATTCAACAAGTAGCTGAGGCGGGTCGGGCACTTGTCTCAGCTTCCTGAACACTGAGATTACAAATGTGCCCCACCAAATCTAACATTTTTTGGTCTATTTTTGTTTCAAATGTCTTATGTTAATAAAATATTCTCAATGTAGATGGTCAAATTTGTCTCAAAATTCACAACGAATCTGACATAATTTTAACAATTCTTAATGACAATCTTAATTATGCAATGACTATTATATGCTAACAAAACAAGACTCTTAGAAATCAAAGGGTAGTATCTTTGACCCTATTAACACATTAAACATTTATTTTTTTTTAAGATTTAAAAATTTATTATATACAGTGTTCTGCCTGCATGTATGCCTTCATGTCAGAAGATGGCACCAGATCTCATTACAGATGGCTGTGGGCCACCATGTGGTTGCTGGGAATTGAACTCAGGACCTCTGGAAGAGCAGTCAGTGCTCTTAACCTCTGAGCCATCTCTCCAGTTCACATTTATTGATTTTTAAACAAGCGCGCATGCATGTGTGTGTGTATGTGTGTGTGAGAAAGACAGAGAGGAAAAGAGAGAGAGAGAGAGCGTGGAGATCAAAGAACAACTTTCAGAAGTCATCTCCTTTCTTCCACTGTGAGTTCTGGAGACTGAACTTGGGGGTCATCGAACTGGCAAGAGCTTTAACTCCTTGAGACATCTTATCAGTCCTATTTATTTGGTTTTTTGTTTGTTTGTTGGGGGGGGGGGATCTTGCTATGTTATCCAAGCTGGTCTAGAACTCAGGCTCAAGTGATCGTCCAACCTTAGCCTCTGACAAGCATCTTAGACTATAAGTATATCATGATGCCCAGCATCTTGACAAACAAAGATCTTTTCCATTTCTTTAATAAATCTTATTTCTTACTGCCTACTTCTGAGGCTGTCATGTAATAATTTTTACCCAATTACTGAGCTCAGCATATACAAAGCACAAAGTGATAGGTGATGGCTTAAAGATGACTCCAGGTTTTTCTAAGAATCAAAGTGCATGTGCTTTGAAAGACAGCTACTTACTTTCTCATAAAGGATTTACTTTACTTATTTTTAGTTTTATAAATGCTATGACTTAAAAACCCCAAGGATTGATAGCTGAAAAAATTGGAAGTTCATAAAGTATACCATACTAACCAAGGAATCATTTAGACAAAGAATACTAATAAATACAAGCATAATCATTACTAGTAGTATTTTAATAACTCACCTGATTTCCTTTAACCCTTCTCTCTGGATAACTTGAAGAATTTCTTTATGACTCATAGGTGTATTAGGATATTTTTCTAAGACCTAAGAAACAAGGAAATAATACAATAAATTCTTATTTTAAGTTCTCATTCTTATAATTGTTTGTTATTATAACTATGTCAATAACTAGATCTAAAACATACGTATCTAGAGACTTCACCCAGAACTCTTCATAAATCACAAACAGTAAGTTAAATTCTGAAGCAGAAATTGATCAAAAGACTAAAATTAATGTTTTAATTAATGAATATGAAATTGCTTACTTTTAGTCTCCACTCCCGTATCATATCCCTACCTGTGGCCTAACACACTATACACAGTAGCACACGCCTTTAATCCCAGAACTCAGAAGGCAGAAGCAGGTGGATTTCTTAAAAGCTCAGAGGCCTGCCTGGTCTACAGAGTGAGTTCCAAGACAGCCAGCACTACAGATAAACCATGTCTCGAAAAACCTAAAAAGAAAAAAATTATCTATTTTCACATTTCTATCAAAAACTACTACTACATAGGCAAACAATAAATTCTGAAATAAATGAACACTTATTTATATAACTATATTAAAACTGTATCTGCTTGGGTTGGAGAGATGGCTCAGAGGTTAAAGGCAATGCCTGCTCTTCCAAAGGTTCTGAGTTCAATTCCCAGCAACCACATGGTGGCTCACAACCATCTGTAATGAGGTCTGGTACCCTCTTCTGCCCTGAGGGCATACACACAGACAGAATATTGCATACATAATAAAGAAAGAAAGAAAACACCTTTGTTTAAAAAAAAAAAAACTCTTTAGGACTAAACTAACTGCTTTAGGACTAAAACTATATGACCTCAAACCTCCACCATCATGTTCCCCACCAAATGAACTATACCATCAAGTAAGTTAAATCCATTCTTCATTTTTTTTTACCCCCGAGACAGGGTTTCTCTGTGTAATAGACTTAGCTGTCCCGGAACTCACTTTGTAGACCAGACTGGCCTTTGAACTTAAAGAAATCCACATGGCAGCAGCTATAGACCAAGACCACACTTTGAAACTAGTTACTGACTGACTTAAACACAAAATAGATGCAGACAGCTGCAAAAGTTCTAAAGAATACAGAAGATTAGTAGAAACTTGGGAGTTCAAGCTAATGCCAGGCATGGTAGCACATTCCTTTAATCCCAACACTGGAGGTAGTGGTTAGTAGAACTCTGTGAGTTCAAGCCCAGCCAAGGCTATAATAAGACTTGTCTGATGTGCAGGGGGTCAGGGGTGCCTGGAGAGATGGCTCAGAGATTAAGAACACAGGCTGCTCTTCCAGAGTTCAATTCCCAGCAACCACATGGTAGTGGCTCACTATCATCTGTAATGAGATCTGGGTCCTCTTCTGGCCTGCAGAGATACATGGCAGAACACTGTATATATAAAAAATAAATAAAAATAAAGAAGACTCTTGTCTCAAAAGCAAAAAAAATATCTCCATAGGATTTAAACAAGCATTTGATGTTTTGTTTCAGTTTAGTTTGAGGACAGATTCTCTAGCCCAAGTTGCCCACAAGTACCTACAAAGCCAAGAAAGCCCTTGAACGTCTGATCCTATCTCCATCTCCCCAGCGCTAGGATTTCAGACACTCTACATCCGCTGGTAGATGGATTCAAGGACTATGTAGCATTCTACTCAATGAGATATCCTGGGCTGTAAGATCCTAACAGTATCAAAATGTCAAATACATCATCTGAAATCACTCAACAGAACTCACAAAAGCAACTACATACAACAGACCCAAAATAGCAAATGTTAACATTCTGAGACACAAGCAACTATGCTTCAAGAAATGGTGATGTATGCCTTTAAGTTTAGCACTGAGAATGCTAGAGCAAGATTGCCCCTGCTCACCAATAATCCTTGTCACATCCTATTTCTGATGTCAGCTTCAAAAATTTTACCAGTACTACTCGGATGAAATAAACAAATAGTGTGCTTTTCTTGGGCTATTAGCCTTTTGTTTTTTTCTGCAGTTTCACTATAAATAACTAATTTCGACTAATTAAACAAAAACACACAGAAATAGAAAATAATCATAAATTTCAAAACTCATGATTAAAAAAAAATCACTGCTCTGTTCAGAAATTACACTATACTACAAGAAAAAACAAGAGTAAAATATCCTGAGTAAAACACGTATGTTTACATGCAATAGTACTTTGGTTAAACTGGCCAGACTAGCATGTGACAGTAATTACTGCACTATAGAAAGTTGGGCAGCAGTACCAAGAGTTAGTAAATAGCCAGCCTAGACTAAATATGTAGAGTTTGTCTCTCCCTCAAAGTGGTTCATGCCCATAAGTACAGCACTTAAGAGAGAGACATGAATACTGCAGAAAATTCAATGTCAGTCTGGGCTACATAATGAGTTCCATGTCAGCTGGGCAACAAAACAAAAACAGGACCTGGGATGCTGAGATGGATCAACAGGTAAGAGCACTTGTTGCCAAGCCTATTGACCTGAGTTCAATTCCCAAGACCCACATGGAGAGTTATTTTCTGAGCTATGTGTATATAACCTCACAAATAAATACTAAAAACAAAAAAGGACAGTTTCTCCTTTTGATAACAATTTTTTGTTTACAATTAATTATCTTTTTGGGGAGGAGGGTTCAAGACAGGATTTCTATGTGTAACAGTCCTGGCTCTCCTAGAACTCACTTTGTAGACTAGGCTAGACTCAAACTCACAGAAATCCTCCTGTCTCTGCCTTCTGAATGCTGAGATTAAAGATGTGCACCACCACTGCCTAGCTTATAATTATCTTAATTCCCCTAATAAAATAAGAAGAATGAGAAAAATATATACATACACTAGAAAAACCTAAGAAGAAAAATCAAAATATTTCGGAGTAAAAAGACTAAACAATTACATTCTTTTTTTTTTTAACTTCAGCAAGTGTAGATTTAGTAAGGAAAAGTGAGGAAAGCTTATGAAGGTGGGAAGGATCCCAAAGGAGGCATACTATATTATATTCTTCTATCACAAGTTGTGTAGGCTAGTAGTTTTCCAAAACAGCTACCGTATTCTAACCAAAGGAGGGCAGTGTCTTGTCTTGTCTTGTCTTGTCTTGTCTGTCTGTCTGTCTGTCTCTGTGTGTGTGTGTGTGTGTGTGTCTTGTCTCTCTCTCTCTCTCACACACACACACACACATGCACACACACAAAAAAATTCTACTAGAACTGTTCAAGCTACAAGATACAATTTACAAACTACTCTTATGACAACGATTAAACATGGGGGAAAGGAAGGTTTAAAACAACAGTATAGGGCTGGAGGGATGCCTCAGGGGTTAAGGGCACTGCCTGATCTCCAAAGGTTGGGAGTTCAACTACCCAAGACACATATGGTGGCTCACAACCATCTTAAGTCTTCCTAGAACATCAAAATAAAAGGGAATTGGAATCAATGAACTACTTTTACCAATGACAGAAATAACTTCCCAAACCAAGACAAAAGGAAATCCTAGACATTCCAAATTTTGATCCCAACATGAGAGCCAGATACAGTTTTAACAACTGCTTCATCATTCAAACTTATACTACCTGATATTTGCAACTGAGGAACAAAATGAGGTCGAGACACTGCTTTCCCACTATGAGTTTCATAAAACACTATGAGAACTCAGAAACTGAACTTTACACAGAAAAACCATCCTGGTGGAAAGGAGGAAGGAATGAAAGAAGGAGGAAGGAATGGCAGAAGGAGAAAGAAAGGAACGTAGGCACTTCAAAATGAAAACTAGCTGGGTGGTGATAGTGATGCACACCTTTAATCCCAGCACTCAGAAGGCAGAGGCAGACTGATCTCTAGGAGTTCCAGGGCAGCCTGGTCTACAGGGCTGCCAGAATTACACAGAGAAACCCTGCATCAAGAGAGGGAGGGAGGGAGGGAGGGAGGGAGAAAGCTCAGGTGGAGGGGTTTATTGGGAGAAAGTGAATGGGAAAGAGGGGAGGGGAGAGGGGAGACAGGACTCTGGGGAAAGAGAAGAGAGAAAAGAGGGAGAGAGTCCCAGCATTTGTGAAGCAAGAGGCAAGTGAATCTCTGTATGTTGGAGGCCAGCCTGGTCTACAAAAGCTAGTTCTAGGACAGGCTCCAAGGCTACACAGAAACCCAGTCTCAAAGAAAGAAAGAAAGGAAGGAAGGAAGGAAGGAAGGAAGGAAGGAAGGAAGGAAGGAAG